ACTAATGAATAAAAAATTCACATGTCTAGCTCCTCTCTCTTGGGTTTTGAATTAATGTTCCTGCATATTACAAATATCCACTTAGATGTCATACAGGCATCTCAAACTCAATGTATACAATGAATCTCAACTCTAAAACAGATCTCTCGTTTGTGTTATTTATTTCCCATCTGTTTTGCTTTGTTGTTTGTTGGGGTGGGGTTCTTTTTCCTGAGACAAAATGTCATTATGTAATTCAGGCTAGTCTTGAACTCACTATATAGTTCAGGCTGGCCTCTAAGGGCCATCCTCCTGCCTCAACCTCCTGAGTGCAGGTATTGCAGGTATACACACCATGCCTGGCCTCACTGTATTTTAAAATAAGCTGAGAATTTTTTGAAACTGATAAAAGATGCCAACACTAATACTGAAGTCACAACAAGTCCAACCAGCATAAATTCTAAGAAAATAAAACATTAACCTATATCAAAATTCACCTACTGAAAACCAAAACCAAACACAAAAAAATGTTTAAGCAGCCAGAGGAAAAGAAACAAGATTGATGGCTAATTATTCAAAAGAAATTATGGAAGTCAGAAGACAATGGAGTGACTACTGTTTAGTAGGGTCTCACTGTGTAGTGCAGGCTGGCCTCTAACTCATGATCCTCCTGCCTCAGCCTCCAGAGTGCTGGGACTGCAGGCACAAGTCACCACACCCAGCCCTGCTAAACAGGGAGAAAAAGAGGAAAACAAACATGGCTATTGTTTAAAAACAAAAGTAAAATATAAAATGGAAGAGATGTGTTTAAGCAATTGAAAGTTTTTGCTTTGTTTAGAAAGTGCTATGGTAGACTGCAATAAATTAACAATGCATGTTTATACTCTAGCATGTCCATTACAAAGAGAGTAACAGCATGCGAGAAGTTAGTTGGGTGCAGTGGCACATACCTGTAATCCCATCCCAGGGGAGGCTACGGCAGAAAAATCGCTGTGAGTTTGAGGCCAGCCACATACATATAGTGAGTTCAAGGTCATCTTGAATTACATTGTGAGACCCTGGCTCAAAAAACAAACAGAAAAAACCCCAAGACAAGAACTTAATACATGCCAAATAATAAAATAATATGATGATCCAAGGAAGGACAAAAAGGAAATGAAAGGAAGCCAAACAGTAAAATTCAACTATAATAATTATATTAAAAGTAAATTTGCTGGGACTGGGGATTTGGCTCAGTGATCTCACCACCTGCCTTGTAAGTGCAGGGACCCGAGTCCGATCCCTGGTACCAAAAAGGAAAAAAAACACAAAAGTAAATTTGCTGAGCCAGGGATGTAGTTCAGCAGCACAATGCCTGCCTGGCAAGTGCAAGGTCCTGATTCAATCGCTGGTACCAAAAAAAAAAAAAAAAAAAAGGTAAATTTACTATGTAATCCATCGCTTGAACAAACTTAAGAGAAAACTGATATAATGATTTCAGTAATATACAGAAAAAGCATAAGCCAAATTTGACATTCTTTTGTGGGGGAAAAAACTCTCAGGAAACTGGGAATAAGAATACTTTCTTTATCTCATTGCAAACATCCAGGAAAGGTTTACGTTTAATGGATATATTCAATAGTAAATTGAATGGATATATTCAATTGCCTTTTTCCCCATAAGACAGCAAAAAGGCAGGATGTTTTCTCTCACTTGTATTTCTGAAATTTTTTTGAGTGTTGAGTCAGTGCTCAAGCACTTTGTATTTTCAGATTAGGGATGCTTCACTGGTGTATCCAATTGAGGCACCATGATTGAACGATTTAAAAAATGAGCTATTAATATAGACAATCCATGAATATTCTTAAAAAAAAATCCACACAGTGACTTGTTCTATTTACATAACACTGTCAAAACAAAAGAAACAAAAACTATAGAGATGGAAATCAGATCAATGATTGCCGGGGACTGGTAGAAAGACTGATTATAAAAGAGGAAGTCTTTTGAAGTGACAAAAATGTCCTAATCTCAACTATGGTAATAGTTATACAACTATCATTAAAACTTATCAAGTATATACCCCCCAATTACTGTATCTAATTACATTTTAACAAATCTGATCCCAAATTTATTTTATTTATTTTATTTTTTGACAGGTTCTCACTATGCAGTTGAGACTGACCTGGAGCTCACTCTGTAGCCCAGACTGGTCTCGAACTTACAGTGATCCTCCTGCCTCAGCCTCCTGAGTGCTGGGATTATAGGCGTGTGCCACCACAGCTTTACTTTAAATTTTTAAGTAAATGTACTTAGAGCTCCAATTTAAAGATTACAACTGGCCGGGCCAGGGATTTGGCTCAGTGGTTCTGTAAGCACAAGCCCCCTTCACCCCCCCACTCGATTCTCCAGTGCCAAAAGAATGAAAGAAAGAAAGAAAGATTAAAACTGTCAGACTAATCTTTTAAAATAGATAATGGTGCCAAAAGTAGTGGCACACGCCTGTAATCCTAGCCCTTCAGTGAAGCTGGAGGATCAACATGAGGCCAGCCTGGGCTATATAGGGAGTTCAAGGCCAAATTGCACTATAAAGTGAGATCCTTTCTCAAAAAACCAAAAAACAAACAAACAGATAATACTATCCCTTAAGAGTAAGGCTAAGCTGTTATAAATGTTTGTGACAGATCTCAAAGTTATAATGAAAACACAAATTAAAATCAAAATGAGATACTACAAAGTATTCACATTTTGTGTGCTTTCTGTGGCTCTTGATAAAATTTTTGCTATTCACTGCTAAACCATGACATTTTCCATAGTTAGAAGAGTAATCTTTCCTTTACATAAATAGATAAATTGAACTTGAGAAAATTAATTTATTCCAATACACCATCAAGAGATTTAAAAACCCACAGAAGGCTATATTTTCAGGTATCATTGCTATAGTTAGTGACTAGAGAAGTTTCTCTGATCGTGTAGAGTACTAAAACCCCAAAGAATGGGAAAAATGCTTGTATATCATATATTTGCTATCAAATCATTGCCAAATACATCATACTGTTGATAAGGGACTTATATGTAGAACATATAAAGTATTCTTACCACTCAACATAAAAACCTAACAAAAATTGGGCAACAGATACAAATATTTCTTCAAAAAAGATATATAAATTACCAATAAGCACATGAAAAGATGCTCAACATCTTTAATCAGTAGGGAAAAGCAATGATCCACAATGAGCTGCTCCTTCGCATCTACTAGGGTGGCTCAAAAAAAAAAAAAAAAGAGCACGCAATGTGAGTGATAAAGAAATATGCAAAAATTAGAACGCTCATATATCACTGGTAGGATTGTAAAACAGTACAATTTGATGGTTCCTCAAGAACTAAGTTAAATTACCCAAGCAACTTCACTCCTTGGTATATACACAAGAAAACAAAAACGTATGTCCACACAAAAACTTCTCACTTATGTTCACAGCATCACTCATAACAGCCAGAAGTTGCAAGCCACCTAATGTCCACGTAGGAATGTTCTGGTGAATGGATAAAATGTGATATTATCCATATATCCATACAATGGCATATTACTCAGCTGTAAAACAGAATGAAGTACCAATATACAACACGTAATAAATCCTGAAAACCTTATGTCAGGAGAAAAAAGCTAGTCCCCAAAGGCAGTATTTTGTATGCCATCATTTGCATGAAATGTACAGAACAGTTAATCCATAGAGACAGAAAATAAGTCAGTGGTTGCTAGGGAGGGAAATGGAAAGTGACCATCACCAATAGGTACAGGGTTTCTTTTGGAGATGAAAATATTACAAAATCAGATTGTGGTGATGACTGCACAACTATGAATATATACAAACCACCGAAATGTACACATTTTAAAGCAGTGAATCTGAAAGTATGTGAATTATATTTCAATAAAGCTGTTATTTAAAAATATAAGATGGCTTGACAGCTTTCCTTTCCCAAAGCATTTAGTTTAGTTCTAGTTCCTTCATGACTTATTTTCGGCTAAACTTCAACTTTCATCCTCTGCTACTTTCCCCTGTACCACTTTCTGCTTCTACGACTAAACACTTAAATGTCATTTTACAATTTCAAGTCTTTTGTACATATTCCTCTGTCAAGAATGTCATGCTCTCCCCCTTTCTCTTTCTAGCGAATCCCTATATATCCTTCAAGAATAAAAGCTGTCTTTTCCTACTTTGAGATTTCTACTTTCAGATCACCCCCTGTATATTATAAGAACTCCTTTTTTTTTTGGTACCGGGGATCAAACTCAGTTCCTTGTGCTTGCAAGGTAGGCGCTGGAACCACTGAGCTAAATCCCCAGCCCATCCCCTCTATGCTATAAATACTGGTCTACACATCAGCAGCAGACTTGAATCCTGAGTTTACTAGATAGTATCATCTTCAGCTCTAGGACCTAAGGCGTAAGCTCTTAGTAAATATTTATTGAATAAATGAATGACAAAACATTCTCTCACTACTGGCTAGAAATAATGCTATTTTTTCTCGAACTAGTTTTAATTGGTAAAATCCATACAAATGTAACTTCAGCTCTGGCCTATAGAGACCAATAAAATGAAATAAAAATATAAATTTGGGGCCAACATTGAGACTTAGGGAAATTACCATAAAGTAACATTTCGTGGGGTTCACAGTTCGGATACTTATCATTGTTGACTGAACATACTTACTGAAGTCAATATTCTTTTATTCAACACATTAAATGTGTTGTTTAACTCTGGTAACCACAGCTGTGACTTAGTTAACGATCTCAATAAATCCTACTTAAATCACAGACAGGAAAAAATTATGCAAATGAATTCTTATCTGTTTTTCTGCCCAAGGCATATTTGATAACAGATAAAACATACTCCAAATAGTCTCTACTTAATAACCAGGAAGCCATTCGAGGTTTTATTTGGATCAAACTCAAATACAAAAAAGAGAAGCCTGACATATTCACAAATAGTTTTATTTTAGAAAGAAATTATACATTAGAAGGAGACATAGGTAAGAATATACACCCACATATGGATCAGAATCTAGGAAAGCCAACAGTTATTAATAAACAATGCCACATGATTAAAAAAGACAGTAACAGATGACAGATGGGCTTGCCTTAGTTTCATCCACAAAATAGTACTTTTTATTTAAAGACAAAGAGGTATTAGTCTTTAAGACAGACAGCTCTTTAGAAATGAGTTTGTAGTTCCAATGGACTTTAAAATCAAACTAATCATACCAGTCTCCAAGTAGGCTGTATCACACTCATGTTCAAGCAGGCAGGATAGAAACCATCCATCAATTACACCTTGCAGCTAGACAGGATATCTTCCACTAATCTCTTGTAAACCCAGGCATCACCCTTAAGTCGCTGCCTCCTGATTCCCACCACGTCAGGCTTCTGAAGCTGGCATACTTCTAGTTCAAACTGCATTGTCACTTTGCCAAAATCTGACTGTGTTTGACACTTCAGTGTATAGCTGTGAAAAACAAAATAAGATACCAGTTAGTAGGAAAATTATGAATATTCTGTATTGTACCAAAGGTTTCTAAGCTTCTAAGACGCTGGAAGGGGAAATGAGATATTATTTCATATTAAGCAAAGTACTACTGTTTAGTTTCCAAGTGGCCTAGCTATGCTTTAGTGATGGAGTATGACTGGTGTATTCCCAGAAGCTGAACAAAGATCCTGAGAAAGATTAAAGATGAAAAAGCTTTACCACAATTCTCATGCTCCAGAGAAAAGCCCTTCTTTCATAGCTATACATACCACTCATGCTTGGGAAATCTGGTGTTCTTCATGCAACCCTTTCAACAGTGTAATCCAGGAACTTTAGGCTATTTTCACAATGATTATAACAAAGCAAAGCACAAGGAAGATTGGGAAGATTTTGTATATATACATCTTGTCAGAAACTTCTCTTTCACTTAAAAAAAATTGAAACCACTACCCTATCAGAAGGGCATACATTTTTCAGTTTCCCAATAGTAACAAGAGGCAATGATTCTCAACATTTTATAGCAGAAAAAAAAGCAAGAGACAGACCAGAGATGGTACTTTCCCACAATGGGACATCTAGTGTCAGAACTACTACATCAGCTGCCTTGATGACAGAAAAGCCCAAGAAAAGCCAAGCTTCAAGCTCATCTTACTTAAGAAAACAGGAATGAATTCTAAGGCCTGCCTCGCAAGCACAAGGACCTGAGTTCACTCCCCTGTACAGAAAGATAACAAAGAAAGAAAGAGAAAAAAGCAAGATATATCATGCTCAGGCAATTCCCTATGATGAATGTTATCTTTATGTATATCTAAAACATAACAATATAATTTATAAAATGAAAAAAGAAATAGGAATGGTCCTAAAAAGTTGCATAAATTTAATTAAGCGAAATTATAGTTTTATTTGTCTTACTGACCTTCAATAAACAATGAACACTTTAAATTTCAGTTCTCCTAAATACTTAAGGACATAAGATTGGGTACTTTTTAACAAAAATTTAGGGAAATTATTTTGTTGCATGTTATGTATTATGAAATGTCACAAATTATCATTCTTTATCTTACTAACTTATGTATTTAGGGAAGGAGCTTGACCTCTTAAGAAAAATAAGCAGTCAAATTAGAAAAGCCAAAGGAGCACACTGCAAAGTTCTTTTTCATTTTTTGTGGCAATCCTCTAACACTAAGCCACAGCCCTAAAGCATGAGCTCGTGCGCTCTTTCCCTCTCTCTCTCCTTCTCTCCCCTGTCCCTGTCTCATCTATCCATCCATGTATTGATACAGAGTCTTAATAAATTAAGTTGCCCAGGATGGCCTCAAATTTGTGATCCTCCAGCCTCAGTAGTTAAGGAGGATAAAGCATAAAACAATTTAGTTTGAAAGCATTTTGTTCGTATTGGAAAAACATATCAACGAAACATAACAGATGTTAGTAACATCACCCCACTGAAAAATAATTTCTTTGTCACAAACAGGGTAAAAATAAACAAAGTAAAAGGAAAAGAAAGGGGTCAGAACAGAGACCTCGTTGCTCTGGAAGTTAGGAAGACAAAGTATTGGTTAACATCCAGTTAGTGATCTAACAGAGATTACACACTGAAGGAAAGATCATCCAAAGGCCTGTGATAAAGATTTGGCTGAAGATTCTCCAACCAAGCCTCCAAGTATGAAAAAGAGAGCTGAGTTAAATGGATGTGTTCTAATGAAACTAAAAGAAAATCTGGGTTCATGCAAGTAATGTCTGTCAACATTTACAGATAGTAAAAAGTGAAATTACACTTGCACAAGATTGTTTCATAAAGTATTACTCTATAATGACTATTGTGTTTACATAGTTTTGATAAATCTTTTAGTGGGTCTACTTAGTTGCTTTAATAAAGAAATTTTAGACACATAAATTAGTGAAAACGCCTAAAATATAAACATCTTGGATAACCAAAGCATGGTGGAGGCATCAGAACATCACTAAGAAGATAGTTTACTGAAGAGTAGGGAAGTAACATCCTTAAAGTATTAAAAACCCAATCCCACAAGATAGCCAGTCATAAAGAGGGTTCTTTATAAGTCCTGAATTGTTCAAAGTAGTTCATTAATTTAGACTACAATTTGTAAAAATTTCTGTAAAGTAGGAAATTAAGGAAAACATAATTTTTGTGGAGACAAGGTCTTGCTACGCAATTCAGGCTGGCATTGAACTCACTATGTAGCCCGTGCTGGCCTCGAACTTCCAGCGATCCTCCTGCCTTAGCCTCCCAAGTGCTGTGATTATAGGCGTGTGTCACCAAGAGAGAATTTAAAAGGAAACTGGAAGTTCAGTCTAATTTTGAAAGTGGTGACTATGGACACTTATTAGGTCAAATAAAAGAATAAATTATGAACAATGATAACTGTAAAACTTCTTGGAAAATGGTGAGGAAAAAAATTTAAGTGGCAGAGTGGAGAGAATCAACCCATACTTTTTCAAAGTCCAAGTAAATAATAAATGAAACAATCTTTAAGTGAGCTTCTTACCCCTTTTGTACAAAGTCAACATGCTTCTTTGGGAGAACAGACATTAATTCATTCAAGAGTTGATCAGGATTCACTAGTTTGGTTGTAGTAACATTATAGTGAAGCTTTAAAAACAAAACAAAACAAAACAAAGGGCTGAGAGTAAATCTTCACATCAGTACAAAATCCATCCTATCTGATCTAGAGACACCAAAATCAAAATAACACTTTCTTTCTCCCTCCCTTTCTTTCTCTTACTGTATAGGAGGCAGTGTCTCACTGTGTAGCCCAGGTTGTCTTCAAACTCTTAATCTTCCTGCCTAAGCCTCTTGTGTACTGAAATTACAGGTGTGTATCACCATACTTGGCTATAACACCTTTACAAATAGAAATTTTTCAAGAAAATACTGAAAACACTGACAGCAGACTTTGTTACCTGAATTAAGATGGCACTGGGGAAGCTTGGAGAAATGATGTTTATTAGGAACTACACATTTATTATCCATTCTATACTTTCACCTTCCTTCCCTACTAAATCTTTTTAAATAAATATAAAATGGCATCAACCTATCTGAACTTTACCTGTTTCTCCCTTTCTACATCAGGATAGAGACATTAACAGTCCTGATGTGTAAACTGTGGAAAGATGAAACAAATGCTCTAGAAAGCTTGCTTTATATACAGATGGACACGTTTCTTCAATTCTTTCTGGATTAAAGACAAATGTAGAATTTCAGGAGCTGATTCTATCACAACTTTATAAGAGGATAAATTAATAGGCATTCATTTAAAGAAGTAATGTCGTTTTATTTTTCTTATAGACCTTAGTATAATTCTAAGAAATAGTTTCATTTCTAATCAGTATCTATCTCTTCCTTCTTTCAACAACTATTTATTGGATACTTCCTATGTGCAAGGGACCACTTCAGTAGGTCCTAGAGAAAGGGGAAAAAAATCCCTATCTTCCTAGTAATTCTTTCATTATCAAACAAAACCATAGTTGTTATGCCTTTGAAATCTGAGTTCTTTTTATACATTTTATAACAAAATGTCAAGGTAGAAAAGGATCCAACCATCTTAATTTTCAAAATAAGAATCTGTGGCCCAGAGAAGACATCTGAATTTCTTAAGATACAGCTTCCTATTCTGTGGTCCAAGTTATCACTGATTTATAAGAAAACTCTGTAAATTTTAAAAATAACATTTAGCTCATTGTATGCCAACTGTACCTCAATAAGAAAACAACAGATAACAATTCACATCACATGCCAATACAAGAGATGTGAAATTGAGTGTTAGTCAGAGTTTGTTGTCTGCACTTCAGATTCTAGAAGGAATAAGCAGCACAGATAGGATGGGATCCCAACCCCATTTCCTGGCTCCCAGTCCAGGGCTCTTCACCAAGTTAAACTTAGTCATGATAACAATAATAATAAGAAGCACATTTCTAAAGTATAATTTAATTGCTGCTTTTATAATATAAAGAGCAATCCTAATTTATCTATTTAAATTTCAGACTTGTAAAGACCACTTCCTAAAAGAAGGATTAATTGCAAATGGTTTGCTATCTTAAAAACTAAAGTGTTCATCATACTATCTTTCAACTTTTCCATATATTTATGATTTTTTAATATAAGATATTGGTAGAAAAGATGGGGTTAACTTCCTAAAACAAGTCTTCACTTCTGTAAAAAACTTAAAGCATTAAAACGGGCTAAAAATTCAAAGTTAGATCATGTTTCAGATCTTAGGTTTAGGCTAATTAAAACTGTGGTTCTGCTACAGTGGGGTTAAAATGCTCAATGCTGACAATAACGACCCTTTGCATTGGAACAACATGTTATATTAATAAGCATTTCATAAGCAATGGAGCATCTCATTTGTACAGCTTGTTTCTATAGCTCACCTTTATGGAGCTGCCAAAGTAGGCATTATCTCCAGATTTCACAAGTGAAGAAAATGAGGAAGCCAGGGATAAAATGACCTATCCAAGCTAGAGGTATAAAGCTGGTGTTGGACCAGTCTTCTTATTACCAATCTTGTGGTTTTTATTGCTATCTAGGAAGTACTGGGGGATGAAACAAAGGACCAACTAATACCACAGCAATTCCTATTAATGCATTAAGGTTCTAAACAATTTACAGAGATGAACATTTTTAGAATATTACCCATCAGTATTTGATAATTGCTTAGCAAGTTTCCTTAAGTTTTCATGTTTTGTAATGAAAGGGCACTATGGTTTTGTTAATCCCAATATAAAGTTTTGAATTACTTCCTGTCTCTGCTAGAGAAACCTCAGAATAAAAAGATAAATTATACTAATAAATAGCTGCATATAACATAAAAATTCTCAGTGCACTTATAAGTTAAACAGGGCAATAAATACTAATAGATAAATGCTATCTTCTACTTTGAGAGGGCATAAATGAGATCTCAGTACATTCTCTTCTAAAGTAGTTCTTCCCAATAGCCCAATATTTTCCTTTCCCACACTCCTCAGAACTGCTCAGACAGTCTCAGCATAAAAACTAAACACAGATTCAGTCCCCAAATCAAAAAAACACTTCCATCTTCTCCCTCACTCTTGGAACAGGTTTTTATTACCAAATTGAGCCCAATGTGCCAGAGCAGCGTCCTGGCCTGTTTTCACTGCCACTCTGGGGGTTCCTCAAGGGCACAGGCTGTGTCTTATTCATTCCTTTACCTCTTAATTCTTGCACTTCATCCAAAATATGTCATTTATTCAATGTTTCAATTAATGCTCAGAGAGAACCCAAGAGAAGAAGTATTTTATATCTAATAGCTTATTTTTCCTTAACTTCTCCACCAAATATATTTTCCACACCACTGACAGATTAACCCCCTTTAAAGCACAACAGGTTTATCAAATGAGATCCAAACCTTTTAGCCAGATCCTTGAGAACTTCCAGACTAACTTCCCAGCCTGTCACTTATTATTTTCCTCACACACAGACATTAAAAGTTTAAATTAAGTTTAAACACATTCAAATATTTTGCGAGGGCCTACAAAGGTATCTACGTGTCAGTGACTCTTCTGTGTGTCATAGATAGGACAGCTGAACTCAAGAACCCATCCTCAAGGCAGCTCTCGGTTCCCTATATACACCCATGCTTGCCCATCTCCATGTCATCTCTGTGATTAATCCCTCCATTAGATCTTAAATATCTGAATTAGCCCTTTGAAGAAAGTGACTATCCCATTTACTTCTGCATTCTCAAGGTCTACTGCATAAAATATGTACATATTAAATGCTCAAAATATATTAACTAAATAAATGAGTTACTTACTTAATAAAAATACCAATCAATTCAATGTTTCTCTTAAAAAGAAACCAGCAGCCAGCTTTTGAAATCCTTACTGAAGAATTCCAGCCCACTTACCTTTACCCTTCTTGGCCCATCTTTGGCACAGCCCTTCCTTTTGCTCCTGGTAAGCACAGTGATAACCTTATCCAATCCCCTTTCAAGGCTCCCAAACACTTTGGTTCCTTTTCTTTTTGGAGTATCCTCCATATGTGCCTGGTTGAGATCCACTTCCACTGAGCGGCACCTTTAAAAAGCAACAAAGCAGGAATAGCACTGAGCCTACTTCCTGCTGGGGCTCCCACAGGCCCTGCTTTTGTCTCTTTATACATGTCAGGGTGCCTCAATGAGGTCAGTCAAGGCCAGACCACCTCATCCTCTGATGGCACTAAAGATGCTTCTCCCAAAGGGGCCATCATCCCTGCCCCCCAGGTAACTGCCTCTCAGCAAAACTATTTTTCCCTTCATTTGTTTCTGGTTTTTTGTTGTTGTTGTTTTTCGTTTTTTGTTTTGGAAGGAAGGGTGTTCTCTTTTGATGTCAAATATACTAAAAACTGTAAATAGTACTTTGAATGCCCATATTTTCTCCTAGAGCCAACAATAGTTAATATTTTGCCACATTGGCTTCCTCTACAAATATAGATAATAAATACATTGAATATATGTATACATTTGCTAAGCTATCTGATATTTCACTCTGAAACACTTTAGCTATACCTGCAATGAATAAGAACATTTTTACCCAATCACAATACCATCATCAATTTAAAAATTAATAGTAATTCCATAGAATCATCTAATATACAGCTCACATTCTAATTCCTCTAGCTGATCCAAAATGTATCATGCTTTAAAAAAAAAATAGTTGTAAAATACAACCACCAGGCATAATGGCGCACAACACCTATAATCCCAGTTACTCGAGAGGCCAAGCAAAGATAATCTCAACTTCAAGGCCAAATTAGGCAACTTTAGCAAGACTCTCTCAAAATTGTAAACAGGTTTGTAGAAGTTTTGCCTGGAATGTGCAAAGCCCTGAGTTAAATCCCTAGTGAAATAAATAAATAATAAAGTAAGCAAGCCAGCCAATGAAGGGTCACTTATGCTGCACATCTTTTCATCCAAGAGGAGTAGGTTTCCTTTGAAACACCAGTTAGAACCCCTTGCTACTTGAAAGAATGCTTCCTGCTAGTGGATTCCTATACTCTACTGGCAAAAGCATAGCAGAAAGTGAACATCAAAGAGGGACTTATCTGGACAGGAGCATACTTGGCCAGGGGTGATGGTGGTATTGTGATACGGCTGTTAAAATGCGTCCTGGAGAGACCCCTTCCCTAGTCTAGCATGGTGCCTTGTTTTCAGGTAAGGAAAAGGAGAGGATGAGGAGCAACAAACCTTTCTGTAACTTTTTTCATAGGTATATCTAGTTGTACCAGAAGGTAATCTTGAAAAAGTTTGTATCTCTCTCTTAAAAAAAAAAAATAAATAAAAATAAATAAATAAATATACATATATACATATATATATATAAATTGAATTTTGGGAAA